TATATAAAACCAAATCAATGTGTATATACAGTATATCTCTACCCATACATATATCTATGTGAAGCAACAGGACTGTGTGTGTGGTCACTGTGTCTGCTTTGCTCACACAACTGCTTTGCTATCGCACACTGGGGATAGAACTGCTGCTACCTGGTCTGCTGTGGAACACAGATAAGCTGACAGCCAGGGAAAGAAAGGAAGTACAGGGGCCTTCCACCAGGGTGAGTAGAGTTTATCTTTTACCTCAGTACCAGGGAAGTCTTGCACTGGAAATGTGCACTTGTGTGATGCCAGGTTAGGGAAAGGGAGTGGAAAGACAGACTTGAGTTCCTGTCAGTCAGTAAAAGCTCTCAGTTCTTTCTTCACACTGCTAGCAGGATCCAGCTCTTGCTCTTATCTCTCTCCCTAGCAACTTCAGCTCCCTCACTCCACCCAGGGAATGAACCAAATATTGAAGTTATAATTTTAGGGTAGTATATAAATTAGGAAGGGATTAGCAAATAAATAGCTTCATCTATAATTTATTCTTGTCAAACACTTCAGTTCCCTTATTGCTATACAATGGATTTCAGCAGGCTTTTAGTCTTAAGGTGTATCAACTGGTACTGTTTAATAACTTACCATTAATAAAAGGGGAAATACTTTGCTTTTAAACTGTTCTTCATAAAGCTGAACTATACCAGAATCTAGTGAAAAATCCTTGTGGCAGTATCAGGTAAAGGAACTGAAGATAAAAGACAGTATTAACCATAAGATTACTTTAACTGGGGATGCTGGTGATGAGCTGATGGTAGGAGTTGATGCATTAACTCAGGTATTTAAAAAGGAGACAGCAATGTACTGCTCTTCCTTTCAGATGCCACCTGACATGACTGTGACCATTAGTAAAGTGCTAGCTCTGGTTAAAGAGTGGCTGTGTATAAGGGGAAAAACCCAAACTGTGCTGAATTTGGGAGAAACCGCAACTACTTTCAGTTCCTTCTTTCCTTCCAAGGCAAGTATGAATACAGTGATCTCTGCTCCTGCTGTAGGACAGCTTCTCCAGCAGCCTGATCACAGGCCCAGGATACCTGCTGAGGTAGGCAACAGGAGATGCCTCTGAGCTTTAACCCCCAGCTGCTCCAAAATGAACACAATTGCTTAGCTTTGGTTACTCCTAGGCTTTGTCTTGTCTTTCATGTGGCCCCAGTGCTGCTGGCAGGACATAGGTGCTTGACAGTTTAGACTCTGGGGCCTTTCAGTGAGACGCAGGCTTTGAGCCATGCCATGCTTCATGTAGTACAGCCTCACTTCTAATCCATGTCTTAACTCTACCTTAATTACTTCAGGAAGCACATTTGGGTAAGAGGGGTTTGGCTTCTTATTTAGAGCAGGCTCTTTGCTGCACGTGGCTTTGTGCAACACCTTTCTTGCGCCCAGCTTCAGTTCTTGCAATAGCTCAGTACCATTTCATACAGTTTTCACCTGTTTGTCATAGGCTTAGCACCCCTTACACAGTATTACCAAATAGCTCCTTCCATTTGAGCACCTAAATGATAGGCTTATACTTAAGCAACCACTGCGAATAAAGAGGCTCTCCAAGGCTTAGTTTGGGATACAGAGATGTGCGATAGAAAGCCAGAACCCTGAGCCAGGGCTTTGGGTCATGGACTTGATGGGTATTCGTGCTCTGCTTTTAACTCCTCTTACATGTAAGGCTGAAGGTAGGTGAGCATACCCATACCTTGTGCAGCACTCAGACTGACTTTGCACTGTTTGTAACATAGGGGAGAGCAGAGCAGTGATACTTCCATAGCTACAGGCTTTCTATTTTGCTCTGAGGGACTAAAGGGCCAAAACACACGCTCCTTAGCAGGTGTGCTAAGATCCTCCTCATTCCAAGGGAGCTAGGCATTACTTGCTGCCTCTCTCCCCCTCAGAACAGTACCTTGGTTACATTACATCCTGGAGCAGGAGGAGTTCTGTGAGAAGGGTTAAGGTCTAGAGATTGTACCTGACCTTGCACAGTAGTATGAACTGCCCTCTTGCAGTCCTGTAGATGCAAGTGTCTTCTACCTTTACACCTACGTGGAAAGAAGTTGCAGAACATAGTTGCAGCTTCCCCTGTCGGTAAAAACACAGTGAGGAACTAGCTAGCACAGCTGGTCTCCTCACTATATACTGGACCATCCAATAAGAAAAGGAGTAGAAGCGATGTCTGCTCAGCATGAGTGCCTGCTGGGCTCAGTGTTCCTCCCCACTCCTCAAATGGCTCTGCTGCTTAGGTGAACATTGAAAACAAATCTACTCTGATACTTGGTCAGATGGGGAAGAACCAGGCTCTTGGTCACTCCCATCATGCGAGGATGTCGTAGTAAATAGATGGTTTTTTGGTATGGTCCCGGAACTGTTCCAGCTTCAGGCCAATCCTCAGAAGAACAGCTTCATCCCACCACTTTGCCATGACCTGGGAGAAGATGAGAGAGGCAGAGGGAGAAAGGGGGGGTGGAGGATGGGGTGTGAAATAGCATCACATACAGATGCTCTTGAAAGCCCTGGAAAATACATCTTTCCCCCCAACAGCACCCAAAGGACACATGCTTTTCCTTGTCACCCTGTTAAGGATGGCATCATTGCACTGGGATAAAGGCAACTGTGTAACTTTTAACTACAAGACATGGTCCTTTGATTTACATGAGACCCATTTCAAGAGAGAAGGGCCTAAAGAAGTTACAGAAATAAGATAAAGAGTAGTGACAAATATGAGGTACTGGTGCAAGGAGACAGAGAAATCGAACTCCCAGGTACCTGAAGAGCCCCTCTGCCATTCAGGAGTTCCTCTGAGGCAAATCTCTTCTCCCAGAAGTTAAAACATTTGTTACCAGTACCTGCCAAGTCCTCAAGTGTGGAACAGAAGGAACCTGGTCATAGTGGTTCAGGACAAAGCCAGCTGGGGATTCTGTGACCCAGCATCCACAAAGAGGAAATACTCACCTGGAAACTGATGGGAAGCCCAGCTGAAGAATATCCAATGGGAACCACAATGCCTGGAATGCCAGTGAAGTTCGCAAGCTGCATGAACCTGGGGGAAAAGCTATTGTCAGCATTCCAGGCATTCAGTTTTGGGAGCTAGGAGCTCTCTCCCCTGCACTACAGCCCAAGCTCCATCAGTCTGTGCAGCTCATCCCCAGCTCTTCCCAACCTTTTGTTTCCATAGTGCAAGCAGCACTCTTCTTACCTCATGGACCGCACTGTGAAGGCTGAATCGCTGCTCCCAGTCAAGAGGTCAGATTCATAGATTCTTGGGGCAGTGGAAGGAACAGCTGGGGAGGAATCACAAAGTGACTGAGATTGAAAGGGACCTCAGGCAGGCAGTGTGTCTAACCTTCTGTCTCAAGGAGTGTCAGCCAGAGTAGGTTCCTCAGAACCATGACCTTTCGAACATCCCCAGGGATGGAGAGTCTCTGGGCAACCTGATCCAGTGCTTAAAGAGCAATGAAAGAGGCAGGCAGTGGGCAGTCTCCAAGGAACAGCTCAGTTCATTAAAGCCCTATGTTTGATGTACACTGGTGATGCAAACTCATACTCCTGCAATGCAGTCAAGTCACTGAGATTTATGAATGAAGCAGTTAGAGTCTATTTAGAGCAACAACGTTTGCATACACAAGTAGATGTCCAGTCCCTCCTGTGTAAAGGTGCTGGCTCTGAGTACCAAGGGGTTTCTCACTGCCATGGATATAGAAATAGTCTAGAAATACACAGCAGCTTTCCAACCAGGCTGCATTTTCTTCTAAAGGCTTGAGGCACAGCAAAGTATGTGCACAAAAGCCACATTTAAAAACAGGGAGGGAAGGTTAATGGAGTGACTGCTCTTAACATGCACCACACAGCTGCTGGGGACCAGCTCTTCAGCCAGGACTGCCCATACCTGGTGTAAGGATACAGTGCACAGTAGTGAAGATGTCCTGCAGGAATCTCATGCTCCGAGTTCTCTGTCGATTTGCCTGCAAGCAGAGAGGATACAGCGTGACCAGGCCTCTTGGTTCACCTGCCCACCAGAGCCTATGCCTTTGCAAAAGACGACCTTGTTCCCACAGTTTGGAATCAAGATGCAGGACATCATGTCCTCTATGGTGCTTCACAATCCAGCATGCAGAGCTGTACAGCTGCTGCTATCTTTCCACGTGTATAGGGAGGTTAAAACAAGCCTCTACCCCTCTTTTACAGCTTCACTAGGTGTCTTATCACAGTATGTTCCTTACTGTAATATAATCCAGAGCTGTGAACTGGGAAGCCAAGGCCAGGTTAGCCCGAGTGTCCAAATTCTGAAAGAGAAAATGTGGATCATGGCTTTGCTTGCAAGAAACTGGATTTGACGGCCGAGGCGTTCTCTGCCTCTATCAGCAGTCACCCAGCAGGTGGCTTGTCACAGAAGCCTCAGTGACACTGACATGCCACTTGTTCAACTCCTGCCACTGCTCCAAACTGCTGCTACTTACCATTTCCTGGAAGTGTTTATTGAAGTCGGGTTGCAGGAAGTCCCTCATCTCACTGAGAATGCAGATTACGTGTGCTACTCGCACCTCCTCCATCTCGGGGAGAGACACCTTAACCACGCTGGCTCCCAAACTCTGCAGGTGCTCCACAGCTGTGTACAGAGCAGGTAAAGCACATGCAGCATCTCTGAGTTCATAGAACATAGAAGGGCTGCAAATCCCTCCCCTTTAGGCCACTGCAAGCACCTTCAGTGCATCAGGTGGCATGCAGGCTGCTGCTGCTGCTGTTTCTCACAGGTGAAAGCCTTCAGCCTAACTAGATCTCAGTTTTCCAGCAGGGCAGGGGTTGCAGGCTGCTTCCCAGCTTACCCCACTGTGCTTCAGGCAAGTTCATCTCCTCCCTCTTGCCTCTCAGTTAAAGAGTTAAAGGTGGACTGACTATGCTTCCCTGAGCACTTGATGGAACCTGTATTCTATCAGCATGAAGTGATCACTTAGCATGAGATTCTCATTCAAAGCCTCTTCTGAATCATGAAGGTAGAGGAACCCAGAGAATACTCAAGAGACCAGGTCATCAGTGCAGGCTCACTGAATCCTGATGGACTTTAGCAAGGCTGAACACCAAGGCTTAGGGAAAAGTGAATCTTTTGCAGTGTAAAAAGAGTCCCCTTCTTTTGGGAATACCAAAGCTTGCCTTTTTTACTGGCTTATGGTACATCTCTCCTAAGAAAACTGTACACATCTAGAAGCACAAGTGTCTGTGGATATAAGGAGGCTGAAGAAAATCCAGGCAAACAAAGCCTGAACACTGTGAACTCTTTTTAGCTCCAACACATAAGAGCCCAACTACTATACCAGGCATTGTAAGGTCGTTCTTCCCCACCCCCAAGTAATCACCCAAGGTCAATTTTGCTTTGTTTGACATCTGACAAAGCCACCCTAAAGGCACCATTTAGCTGATTTTAAGGAAATACCAGAGGACTAGACACATCACAAAGACCTAGCCCTGTCTTTCCTACTGAATTGTGTTGTGGAACAAGTGCCTCCCTTAAAAGTCTCTTACCATCAAAGCTTGCAGAGTAAGCATTCCCAAGCACAGCTCTGTCTTTATACCGAGGCTTAGCACACTGGACTGCATTCTTGCATTGTAATCTGACAAGCCCACAACTGCTGAGCTTTTTACCCCTCAGCAGTAAGGAGGGCTTCCCTGCAACAAAGCTCCTGCTGTTTGTCCAGCCAGACCTCTAAACAGCTGCCTTTAAGGACTTCAGGCAAGATCTTTCTCGTGTATGCAGGAGAAGCACCAAGTGATACTGTGACATCAGGCAGAGTAAGAGACTTACAGACTTTCCTCTTTACCTTTCTCACAGATGGACAGGACTTCTTCATCACATGCCTAAAGAGTAAGAGGAAAGAACTAAGTCGACTGCAGTAACTGCCCTCCTCTCCATGGGGAGCACATTCCCCAGCACTTCGGGGCTCATGGAGCTTTCCTTGTTCCTGTTTTTAGTGGTAATGAAGCACAGCCCTCCAGGACTGCCTTAGGCTGCCTGCTCCAAGAGAACTGCTTGCAGGTCATACCCCTAAGGGTAAGGAAAAGTCCTCTTTTCCAGAAGAGGGGATTGTTCTCCTCTGCACTGAGGCACAGCCAGAAAGAGTCCTTGTTTCCCCTCCAAGGAAGAGATCTTGAGCACATTTGTGAGGGTGCATTACAATGGCCAAGCTGTACTTGTGTGCAAGCCCACTTTCCACATTAGAATGGTGAAACACTACTCAGCAGCTACAGCACCATCACCAAATGGATACTCTCATTACTTTAATGAAAACAGGCACGAGACCAGTGAATGCACCAAATTCCTTTTAAACCTCACTTTGCAAAGCAGCAGAAAAGAGAGAGAATGGGCACCTTAAAAAATGTCCAGTCCACTCCCAGTTTTAAGCCTTTCAGGTCAGGAGCACACATGCCAGATAGGGTTGCTTTGGGCTGTTTGAGTCCTGCAGGGAATAAACAAAGAGTTCCTCCTTTTATCTAGGATGCCTCTAGGAAAACAGAGGAGCTGGGCTCAGGGAGGGAAAGGTCTCACTTACCATATGGATAGAGTGGATCTGGCTCAGCAAGGATACTGTAAGCAATGGCTGCATCTGCCACCGAGGTACACATAGGGCCTGTAAAAGAGAGATCAGTTCTAGAACTGTGACAAGGGGTAAATGGTGCCTTCCTCTCAAGGTCTTTTGTAGGCACAGATGCCCTCCCCTGTGAAGGCACCACAGAAGGGCAAGAGCACAAGTCCCCTTACCTACGCTGACTGTGGAGTAGGAGAGGGGCAAGCTGCCATGAGAACTGATGCGCCCAAATGTACCTGCAGACAAAGAAACAGGCAGTTAGGGAGATGTCTCTGGTCAGATGGTGAGATCTGACCCACATGGCTCTGCTACACCCAGTAAGCAACAATAAGCACTTTTATGTCTGTCATTTCAGAGCCCAGCCACTCATCTTTCAGCACCTTGTTCTGCTGACCATGATCTGCCTCATGAGTGAAACAAAGAGTGAAACTGTTTTCCCCCCTAAGAAATTGTTTAGTTGAGGGGAAATACGTGCAGGGACATTTTGAAATGCATGCATTTAAATATGCAGAAGCAGTATCTACGATATGGAGGATGGAGAGGCAGGAGCAGGATTATCACCCCCTGGGAGACCTCACCCACTTCACCAGTGAGGCTTCATACTTTTATCACCTTTCTGACCAATTACACTTTTGTCATCGTCATCAGTATCTTCATCAGATGAATCAAGATTAATTAAGTTGATCACATGTGAAGGATGGAAAAACAGAGCAATGGCTGAGTATCTGTTCCCAGATGAAGCAGTAGAGATCCTCTGGAATGCTAAACTATTCCCAAAAGCTGGCATCTCTTCCAAATTACAATCCTGCCTTGCCACCTTCCAACCTATAGATGCTGCCCTGTGCATTTCTTATGTCCTCTGCACATTACATTAATTCTGACTGCAAAAACTGCATTGCTACTCCTTGTAACACTGAGGTAAGAGGAATAGCTGTGTCCTGGTTTCACACACACCTATTACCAGGTTTAACTTACCAGATACAGATCTGAGCAGCATCAGCCTCTCCATACAACAGGGATGATGGCAAAGCGTTGTGGGTAGAGATGCTTTTCACCAGCTCACTACAGATAACCAACTATGTTGGGAACACCTCCCAGCAAAGAAGAAAGATTGAAGAGGGACGAGGGGGTAGAAAGAAAAGCAGCACACTGTGTTCTGTTCAGCATTTGACTCAAGTAAGTTAGGTTTCTTGGAACATCTCTTCAATAGCCAGCAGTGAGAACGCTTCCACTCTGCCAGTCCAACCCACATGCCTCTCAGGGTGTTATACTCCAGAGCTCTGGTCAAGTTTTGCTTGACTTAATGGACTTGTTTGTGGCATTCTATCTGATACAGCAGACAAGACACACACCCTTCCGTGATCAAAGTGCTCTACCTTTCAGTCCCACCACGCCACAGAAGGAAGAAGGAATCCTCACAGAGCCACCTCCATCTGTGCCAATAGCCACTGGGCAGAGACCTACAAATAAAACACACATTGGCCTGTCATCAGCAAGACATTGTGTTGCCTTGACCATTCTACCAGCAGCTGTAGCCAAGACAGCACACAGTACTCTCTGTTCAGCCAGGAGTTCCCTCTAGCTTCTAAACCCCCTCTCAAGAACTCAATGCCTGAGGCACTTTGGCTCAGGACCTTCCTCCCACCACCCCTGAACTGCACTGAGGACCACCTACCTGCTGCTACAGCTGCTGCTGACCCGCTGGAGCTCCCTCCTGTGAAGTGGTTTGGCTTGTAGGGATTCCTTGGGATCTTGTGGTACCTGAAGCAGGCAAAAGAGTGTTGAATCTTTTCCTAGGAAGGACCGGATGCACTACAGGGCAGGAAAAGATCCAGAAACACAGATTCTGATCTCTTAGTAAAGAGATACCATTGAATCCCAGATAGTGTTATGTCCCTAGAAAATAAGATGCACAAAAAAAAGACTTCTGCCTCTGAGTCCAATCTCTTGTTACCATAAGCAGCCTATTCACGAGGCTCAAAGCAAGAGGAAGGATGCTGCTCCAGCCCTTCTGCCTGTGACAGCACCGTGCCACAGTGCATTATACAGCTCCAAAAAGTGGAGTAGTTGTTGGCCAGCAACTCTTACAGACAAGCAAGTCAGTCTCCCCAGCTCTGCCCTTCATCCCAGTTCCCAAAGTCTCTGGTCTGACCAAAGTCCCTGGACATCAGAAACCTCCCAGGGTATCCAGCCAAACTTCACACAGTGAGGAAATGTCCCGGCATGTTGTTAGAGCTGAGGGGGAGCCCCAGTTCCATCCAACTGCACATGCAGGAAGCGTTGCTCTATACGTGGTTTATGAAGGCTGTGAGGACCACTGCTCTGGAACAACAGTTCTCAGCTTGCCTATTGCTGGAGAGGTCACAACAGCAAAGCGAATTCCAGTGAACCTCTTTTAGCTAGGAAATAAACCCACTATGTTCTCCTCAGATGACTCTACCGTTTCTCACTGTTCTGGGCCTGTAGCCATTACTGTGACTGAGCATTAGGCTACTATTTGTTTTCTGTCCCCATATCTGTCTACCACTCATCGTGTAAGCATTCACACCTCCAGGCCTGTAAGGCCTGGCAAAACAAGTTTCTTACTCAGCACTTGGATCCTCTCCTTCCTCTCGTTTCAGGAGCCTTCAGGCTTCCTCTGAGCTTTAATTCTACAATGCACAGGGTTCTCCCTGCCCAGGGTGCTTCTGTTATTCTCACATGCTTGCCCTACTTTTGTACCCTTTCCTGTCAGTTCTGGACAGACTTTCAGGTCTTTCTAGATCAGGGGAAAGGGATTTTACCTATTAGGGTTGCATCCAGTTGTTCCTGTCCCTAGTTCATGCATGTTTGAGACCCCAATAATGATAGCTCCAGCCTCTCGCAGCTTCTTGACCACAGTAGCATCTTCTGTTTCGGGCTCTGTCCCAAGATACACTGTTCCCGCTCGGTGACGATAAGGTACCTCAGCAAGAAGACACATTATTCATCCTAAACCCCTGGCAAGGCAGGCTGGTACAGGCACACTTCAACTCCACAACAGATCCCAGGCATTCGGACCCACAGAGGCAAGTAAAGAGCTAGGAAGCTTCACCTGTCAACTTATCCTATGCTGGTTTCTGTTCGAAGGGACACTTAACCCTTCAGTATTTGGTCCTTCTCCCAGGAAGAAGGAGTCCTTTTAATGCCATGATCCAGAAAAGCAGAAACATGTAGATGTTCTGCAGCAATGCAACTGCTACTCCCAGTGGCTGTAGAATAGTCACTTTGGCCCCACAGCACACAGGAACTCTATTTCCCATTCCTCTATGGACAGAGCTGCAGTTTAAGATCTGCAGTGCTTGGAAGCAAGGCCCCAGGCTCACATGAATGCCAAAATACCAGATGGACCCAATTCCAGGGTATGCAAAGTGCTCTTCCCTTTGAGACAGCAGTGGAGGAATCTGTACGCAAACAGGACTGCCAACCTATGGGTAGGTCTCTGCAGAGCCTACAACAGCTTAATGGCACTGCCAGGGGTATCTAATGGCAACTGGTGTTAGGCCACAGGCAGAACTCCTTGTGAGTGGGGATTTTCAAAGTAACTTCCATACTTCTGACACATCCTTTGAGTTATCCCTAAGGAGAGAGGGATGCTTTGCCAGTGGAGCAGTGTCAGTACGTAGTTACACCACACAGAAGGAGACAGTTACACCCACTGCTACAGATGCCTTTATACATTCTCACTTCATCATAAGGGAGACTGTTCCCACCCTCTGCTCCGTGTGGATTAAAGGGATCAGAACAAAACATGCAACGTGTCTGCTGTACATGAGATCTGTCTTCACTTGGCAAAACTTGTTAATCCTACTCAGTGCAAACCCACACCCTACCCCTTGTTACAAACATATTCTCAGGCTTCTGCTGAGGAGTTGGCCTTAAAACCTTGTCCAGGTTGAGCTCCTGCAGCATGAAGTGAGGGCTGGACAAGGCAACTCACCACTTTGAACTCTTCTTTCAGACACACTGGGATGCCATCCAGATAAGACAGGGTACATTTATTCCTGTAGCGAGCAGTGGAGGCCTCAGCCATCTGCACAGAGAAAAAGTGTGTGTTATATATATATATATTTAGTTGAGCTGAAGGTCATCACCAGTATTGGAATAGATACCAAAAATGGCTCTCTCTGGCTGCTACTAAGCCAAACGATGAAAGTTTCTCTCTTCTTCCACCATATGCTGATGGAAAATTACTACCGGGAAGCACCTTTGCTAACGGATGCCACGTAAGCACACAAGTCCCATTTTAAACATAGTTGTCCAGCAAGAAGCAAATTGCTTTAATGCTCTCTCCCTTTGCAGGAAGGAAAGCAGACTTGTTGGTAGCCCTCTACACAAGGAGGCAGGAAAAATGTACCTATTTTTCTGTGCAATATATCAGCAGAAGAGCCTCTGCCCCTTCTAATGGGGTGGCAGAGGCCCCTTCCCTACCAGAGGCAGACATTACCAGCATTATTTGCTCCGGGTCCCACTGCACTATCGCTCTTAGTGGGGGTGTGGATTTGTCGCAGTCCTCCAGCACAGCAATGATGTTCTTTGCTACCTGGGATGGCGTCAGCTTCCCACTCCTGCAGGACGGGAGAAGAGGGGGACCTTGTTACAAGACCGCCCACACCACACCCCAACACAGGGTTTGTCTCTCATGGAGCTGTCAAGCTGTAAGCAAGAACGAGGCAAGAGTCTGTGTGCAGTGATGATTTCAACACGGTTGACACCACCAAGACAGGAGAATCCCTTCCTTAAGGGGAGGATTTGCCTACACAGCATGACCCCAACCCTTAGAGAAGGGGCAGGAGCTAGGAGAGTTGCCCAGATATTCCAGAACCACTGGATAAACAGGGAAGGACAGCCAAGAGCCTTACAGAGAGCCCTCAAGCTCCTGAAAGCCTGAGGCTATGAAGCTCCCATAAGCTAAGACCAAGAGGCCTGTCCCCTTTACAAAGAAAGGGAGAGAAGTCTGTTAGAGAGAAGGGTCTCTCAGCAGCACTGCCATAACCCACCTCTCACAAACAGTCATTCCCTCCTGACTGAAGGCTATGTTACACCACAAATACATCTCTCTCTGGCCAACATGCAAGCCTCGCAGTCAGGATGCACCTCTAACACCAGACTGCAGTGTTAAGTGCCCTTTGCTCCAAGGCTGCAGCCTGCTGGCAAAGGTGGCCCTTGAAGAACAAGTTCCAAGAGGATTTATATTTGAGTGCCCCACTCCTGGCACATGTCCCAGAGGCAACCAGGGGTTACTGTGCAGCCAACAGCTTTTAGAACCTCAGAGTCAGGGATGTGCTTCCAGCTCTTCCCAATCTGGACACGTTTACTGAGTAAAACCAGGCAACAAGCAGCTGGGGAACCAAGGCATTCCTCAGGACCCCACAGTATGTGCAACTCCCATCAACCAGCCTCTCCTCCTCACTGATGTGTTTGGGCAAACAAGGTATGTAGAAATCTCTCCCAGAGCAAAGTGACAATCATCCAAGGAAAACAGCATTTAAATATCCTTGCAGGGCTTGTAAGAGTTGTGCCAGCTCTCCCAGCTGGCTTTTATTCTGTTAGAGGGACAGGACTGCAGAGGGTGATGCTAAACAGTGGCACCTCAAGGACAATCCTAACAAAGAGATGCCTGGGAGCTCATGGAACACGAGCAGCCCACAGCAGGGGAACAGGCAAGACAAGTTGTTTCCAGACCACGATTTCACTTACCGGTAGCACTCCAGGTAGTCTTTGATCCCTTTGAAGCTAAACCCATTGCCAGGAGAATCAGACCTGCAACGAAAGGATTAAAGGGGCAACTGTGGCCCATCAAACCCATCTCTGCTTAGACCTGTAGACTTCAGCCTTAGTCCAATGCAGGTTTGGGCATCACTCATCGACAGTAAACCTGATGTCCACCTTTTGGACCACTGGCCTATGCATTTCAGCTCACATTCTGTCAGCCTCCTTGCACATGTGCCAGACACCAGGTACACTAAGGGTGGCACAGAACTAAGGGGCCAGTGTTGCTGACACGTTCTGGTTGCTTCATACTTCTACTGCAACACAGCAGTCATTAAACTGTTTGAAATCTGAGGATGACACTTGCTATTCACCCCTGCAACACTGCGGGATAGCAAGGATATAGCAGTAAACCTACTTCCAGGATCTCTGTCACTAGGTTGATCCCAAAATAGCCAGTAGCACATACAGCGTGTGATGTGGGAGGAGGAAAAGGCACTATGCAGCACACAGAAAGATACACATCAGCAAACTGCTTAAAAACTAAGTGGATGGCTCTAGCACATAAGAAATAGACCATTTCTCATCACAACAGGGTAAACATAAGAGCTAGCTGCAATTACTGCTCCTGTGATGGCTTCATGTCATCATGCAGACCAGAAGCCATGTCCTGGAACAGGACAGTATACAGCACCATAACGTGCTATGCAGGGAAGAGGGAAGGCTCTCTGTAATACTCAATATATCACTGGTGGAGCTGAGGACACAGAACCAGAGGGCTGCACTCACCCTAACTAAAGCCTGTAAGAAATACATCCCTCCCTCTAAGGCAAAGGAGCTGAAAGGCTTTACTTGCTCTAGCTTAAGAACTCAAGCAGGGAGCCAGATTAGTCCTGCTAAAAGCTGAGATACATACAGAGAACCCACCCTCTGAGATGCTGCTGAAGTGGAGCTCAGACATTTTCAGTAACTACTGCATAGGCCCACAGCCAAGAACCACAACCAAAGTTTTGGTTCAAAACCAAATGGGGAGAGCATTTGTAGCAGCCCAGCTGCTCCCATCTCACCATCAGACCTCAGCAAGACATGCAAGCCTGAGAGATGGCTCGAATCTAGTGGGATTCCATGAAGCCCAGGCTGCAATTAAGAAGCTGAGCAGGCTTTTACCCAAGCAACCTAAACCTGAAAGCAAACCTCATGGGGATTGTTTTCTTTCTCATTCTTTCTTTCCTCCAAGCAAACCCTGTCCCCTCTTTGAGACTCCCTGCAAGCAAGAAACAACACACCTGCAAGCACATGTAAAGGGATGCAGCCACTGACTACTAGCCAGCCACGAAGTGTATCTGCTCTGATAGTGCAACCAGAGCCCTGGAAAGGGCATAATTCCATCTCTCCCCAATAAGGAGACTCCCTGAAGCTTGTAGAAACTTCACATTTCTTGTAAGAACCAGTGATGTGTAAATTACACAAGGAAAGACAACTGACAGCACTATCTGCTTTGTAAAGTAGCTGGGTGAGATTTTAATCCAGATTACTGCCAACAACAGCTTCCCACTGAAACAGTGCCAACACATGTGTTTTTCCACTCTGCTTTCACACATCACACACTGACCTTGCATCTAGCAGCTGCTTGATAACATCCAAAGTGCTTTTAGCCTCAGACTCGTCTTCTGTGACATCTGCAGCAACCTCCGGGATAAAGGTGGGATCTTCATGGATGTCAAGTGAACGCATGAGTGAGAAGTTTTCCAGCCTGGAAAAGAGTTGCTGGTAGTTTGCAAGCTCTCCCATGACTAATTTTCCAGCCTGTTCAAAGGGAACCTTACCCAAGAACATTATGTCTTAGCAGTCTGCTCTCCCTGCAGGGAGTTGCAACAGTTCAAGATAAACTCTTGCACCTTCCTTTCCCAAAGGCAGCACCACATTTGTTTCTGCTTGCTTAACAAAGCCTCCTACCTCTTGACATAAAGCCAGCAGCCTCCATAAACTCCAGCTGGGAAAGAAATGGTGAAAGCTTTCAATTTGCTTTCACCAGATATATCACCCACAGACCAATAAAGACAGGAAGGGAGAGGAAAAGCAAAGGAGAAAGGAGTGTAAGTCATACATTCAAGCACTAATCCTGCTAAAATCAGCACCTCTTCAGATTTTTTCATCACCTGCTTCAACACAGTTCATCTGCAAACAATACAACAGGGTTTGCAGCACAAGGCCAGCACTTGCAACATGTAAAGACCCTGTCTGATGGTTGATACAGGGTGAATGGTGGATATTGTCCACCTGGATTTCTCTTCCAAGGCTTTCATACAGTTTCTCACAGTCCAGACAAGTGTGTGTAAGGGATGAGGAACTGCTGACAGGCTGCACCCAGAGGGTGGTGGTAAATAGCTCCTTTTCCAACTGGGGACCTGCCACCAGTGGGGTCCCCCAGGGATCAACATCGGGCCTAGTTCTGTTCAATGTCTTCATAAATGACCTGGAAGCTGGGATCAAGTGTACCCTGATCAAACTGGCTGGTGATACCAAACTGAGTGGGGAAGCGGATGCTCTGGAAGGGAGAGCCACCCTGCAGGAAGACCTGGGTAGGCTGGAAGAGTGGGCTCACAAGAACCTTAAGGAGTTCAACAAGGACAAGTGTAAGGTCCTGCACCTGGGTAAGCACAACCCAAGTGTGCAGCACAGGCTGGGATCTGCCCATGTGGGGAGCAGCTCTGTGTAAAGGGACCTGGGGGTCCTGGTAGGCACAAGCTCAATAGGAGCGAGCAGTGTGCTGCTGTGGCAAAGAAAACCAACAGGCTGCTGGGTTACATCAACAAGGGCATCACCAGCAGGCTTAAAGAAGCCATTATCCCACTCTACTCTGCGCTTGTCAGGCCATACATGGAATACTGTGTTCAGCTTTGGTCCCCACTAGACCAAAGAGATGTGGACAGACTGAAGAGGGTCCAGAGAAGGGCCACAAGGATGATCGAAGGACTGACATGTGGTGAAAGGCTGAGAGAACTGGGTTTGTTCAGCCCAAAGAGGGTTTGGGGTGACCTTATCACCATGTTCCAGTATTTAAAGGATGGCTACAAAGAAGATGGAGACTCCCTTTTTACAAGGAGTCACATGAAAAGACAAGGGGTAATGGGTACAAGTGGGGAGATTCCACTAGGACACTAGAGGAAAATACTTCCCACTGACAACAACCAGCCATTGGGATAACCTCCCCAGGGAAGTGTTGGGATACCCAGCTTTGGACAGTTTAAAGATTCAGCTGGACAAGGTGCTGGGACATCGTGTCTAGGTCATGCGTTGCCTAGAACACTTGGACCAGATGGCCCCTAAGGTCCCTTCCAAACTGGTGTTCTAGGATTCCATGTCAAAGAATGATCTGCTGTATAATATGGGTTTGACTGACCCAAAAAGCCCATGTCCCAGGTAAAAATTCGGGGGTACCAATTGTCTATCATACATTCCTCAGTGTCCTAGGATCTGCACAGATGACCCATTAAGTTACAAGTAAACTATGTGAGCCAGGTAAAAAGGTTCCTGACACCTCTTTACCTTAGTGCAACCAACACTTGAAATCACAGCTTCTGAACAAGAAATGTAGTAAACAACAGCTACAAAATCATCTTGCTCACTCTCCAATTTCTGCAGCTCTGCTCTTAGAAAAGGTCTTTTCAGATAAGCTGTAAGTGATGTGCAGTGCAAGAAAAAGAAGCTTGAAAAGGGAGAAAACTCCCCACTCTTACCTTAGTATAAGTGGCAGTAAGCAGATCTGTCCAAAAGCCTAGAAGAAAGTAAGCAGAAACATTGGTTTGCAGTAACTTTGACCTGAACACCTTCCTCACTAGACAAAGAACACTCAATAGCTGCAGTCTTGGAGCACCCCAGAGAACACGCAATGCTATTTAGTAAAAAAACAGCACAAATACTTGTGTTTCAGGCCACAAAATAGGCCCAAAATCCTTTCCCCTCACCTCTCACATTTATATCATTACAAAGAGTGCATTCGTCTGGCTCTCCTGCCTTTGTCTTTCCCTTCTCAGCCTGCAGCTGCAGGCTGCAACACTGTTAAGAGGCATATACACAGCTCCTTTCCATTACTGTCTTCATGTTCCACAGCTTATGCAAACATTAGATAAGGTAGAAGATTATTATCATCATCTTTATCATCCCGCTGTTAAGATCTTCCCTGTTGCTCAACCAGCTCCTGCAGTAGTTCCACAGGTTATGCAAACATTAGATAAGGTAGATTATTATCATCATCTTTATCATCCCGCTGTTAAGATCTTCCCTGTTGCTCAACCAGCTCCTGCAGTAAACTGAGCCAGCTTGGAAAAGCATGGGAAATGTAGAGACTCCATAGCAGCGGATGGTGACAACACTCTTCGGATACCTTGGTTCCCAGTGTAGCAATACCATCAGTCCCAAAGAAAGCAGTCTTGTTCTAGCTTGTCTTAACAGCTCAACAATGGACTTCCAAAACATGTTAAGGGATGTACAAATACAGTATGAGTCTGAAGCAAGGCTCACACCTCTAGATCCCTGAAATTGTATGTTGCTTCACACATTATAGAAGAATTACAGTCTCTTTTCTAATCTACATCTAATCTCATGCAGCCCAATCCTGTAGGAGATTGAGAATCAAGTGCTTCCCCTCCAAAGAGGGTGTCAGGAAAGGAAACAAGCATCAGAAGTGGCCATAAAGCAAAGGATAAAAAGGGATTCTGGTTATTATATCCTGGGGGAAAGCCACTTGCAAGGTATTCTCATGAATAAACACAGCCCATCACCAGCCTTTACCCCAGGCCCAACCGGCTGCCAAGGTCTGTAACAGGTCACACTGATGAAACGACACAGTGCCTAACCTTGACACCAGCGCAAGAGGAAAGGCCAAGCAGCAGCAACAAAATCCACCTGCTTTCAGGCAGATGGTGCTGCCACATGCTCCCTACCAAGGGGATGCAGGCTTTCCTCCCCCCAGCACATCTCCACAGCACCACACACACAAGGAATTAACCCACAGGCTCACACCAAATCCCACCCGAGGGGAGCACTAGGATACAGCTGCCTTCAGCACCAAATCCCACCCGAGGCGGGCAGTGGGTACAGCTGCCTCCAGTGCCTTCCTGAAAACCCCACTCCAAGGGCTGAAGCACCTGAACCCTTTCAGGTCCGAGGAAGGCTGGTGGTGTCTGTACGATGATGTTGGATTTGGGCTCTCAATGCCCGAAGACACTCATGACACCCTGCCCCTGGGGGTGTCTCTCCTCACCGCAACCCTCCCCGGGGACGGCGCAAACCCTTCCCCACGATCTCTCACCAAACGCGGGTTTCACCTCCCCACCGAGCCCTGCTCCCTCCTCAACCCAGCGGCCTCTGCCCCGTCGTTTCACCCGAGCAACCCCGGGTTCCG